TGCAGGAAGCGATGCGTCCAAATGTCTACAAGGTCTGACTTGCCTACTAATTTTTGTCTTAGCCTTTCTCAATAATAGTTTTTTTTTCTTATTTCTGACACCCTCCCCTTTCCATCGTTAGTATTAATCCTCCTCCTCCCCTCCCCCGCTTCTTCCCCCTGCCCCTCTTCCTCCTCGTCTTCCCCTTAACCCTTCTCCTCCTCTTCCAAGTTTTTTGGAACTGCAACGATTTATCTCGTAAATTTTCAATACTTTTTCCCAAACCGTCGTCCGATGTGCAGTAAATACGCAGTACAGTTCACATTTTAAATTGCTGGTCTATCCTCTCGGCCATGGAACCTTTGCTGCAGCCTGTTATCCCGTCTGGATTGACTATTGTCTTTTTCATTTTTCCTTAACATTATTTTCAGCCGAATCTAATTCGATGTGTCGATTAAGGCATGAGTGTGCGACCTCGAGGATTTGTTGGTATATCTTGCATGGGCAGACGTCAGCAATACGAATTTTTTCAAGAGGAAAGGTGTGCCCATTTCTCCTTATTGTCAATTAAGGGGTATGAGTCCGCATGGGAGCTGATTTTACCGTCTAACCGCAGTATCTTTCATTGCAAGTGTCACAGGGAATCTTCTAAACGACTTCTATCTTGTTCAAATAGCCAAGCCTATCGTTCGATAATGTAGTTGTTGAGTTGTGCGCAACTTGCAGATGTCGCTTCCTCGGGTTTCTTTGAATGAGGGAGGATAAATTTTTATTGCATGGAAGTGTTTGCTGGTTCTGGTGCCTAACTAGAGCTACCAAGTTCGTTCTCATTTTCTCTGGCTCACGCATTAGCGTACCAAGTCCCCGGTGTACCCACTCGGAGGAGACAGATAATATATTTTGCTGTCAGCACAGTATATTTTCTCGATTACCTAGGCTGTGAAGTCAATCCATTTGCGAGAGATAGGTTGACTGATTGAAGACTATACGCTCGTCGTATCTGCCTCTACTTTGCGCACTGCCCACACACAGATAAATTTACTCACTGCATGAGCCTATTCGGTCACATACGCATCTAAGGAAGCGGAATTAACCACAATAACTACACACCAAGCACGTCTTGCATATCCGACAACTTACCTCTCTCCTATACTAGCAAGACCTCAGGATGTACCATCTAAGGTCTGATGGCGGCTAATGAACCAGAAACGGCCATTACAGTCCCCCCATTGTCTTTGCCGACAGTACTTTGAAGACCCTATTCATTACTGTTGCCAACACTAGCAACGCTTTCGGCTTTGTGGCTCTGAAGCGATCCTATCCTCATTGTCGCATCGACATTTGCATCATGCTTGGGCCTTTTCGATCGCTTTATGGATCCATCACACGAGGCTGGTGAAACAGTGTCAGCAGAACTAGCATATACCCACCGCATCCGCCTACACTGTCCACGCACATTTCGTCATCGGACAGGCCTATTCGGCCATACGTACCGCCATGAAACCCTGCGGTAGAACTCCGCCGGCCATACCAGTCAACCAAACATCTTACCAACACCTCCACTACACATCACCACACATGTAAAGCATGTGATCGGCATCTGCCATGTATGAAGTGTGTTTCTCGGCTCCTTCTCTATGTGGCCACCTTGCTACATGTGTGAGCCGGGCCCTAGACTTTGACAGTTAACTGTAAATCATAGCTTGTAGTACTGACAACTGACGCTCTACCGGACCACGCCATCAGCCCAGTGTGTGTTCTATGTTTAGTAGCGGAAGTTTACACGGCGATGGTCGTGACATTCCGAGCCCGAAGCTATTCAAATAGCATTGCCAGCAAAGACAAGAGAGACTGGAGTGGCCGTTTCTGGTTCATTAGCGGTCATCAGCCAGCCATATCCAAGCCCAAGTGATGCTCCACCCGAGGCTTGAATTCGCGACCTCTTGATCAGAGGTCTAACACTCTAACCATTGCACAACGAGCTCGTTGTCTCGTCGGTTTTAGATTTTTTCCTTCTCAGCCTTTCTCGGTTGCTGCGTTCTCCATAAACAGTGGCTTTTCATGGTTGGCATGCCGGCCGAAATTCCAGTCTTAGGCAGTCTCAAAGGTTCCCTACTCAAACCTTTTCATTTCTGAATGCCCGCCATCGAATGAGGGAGAATTCATCCGAAAGTATTTGGCGAAACTGGCCTTTTAAGCATCATTCGATTGAGTTCTTCTACTAGTTTTATTAAAGCAAATATGAAAATACTGGGGCATCATGCTATTCTCACACGTCTGTGCCTGGCTTTTTGTTTGAACGGAGAACTCAGTTCCTTTCAGTCATCCCCTGCTAATTTCCATGCAAACGATGTTGAAGGAAAAAAAAGATGTTTACAGATCTCAACTTGGTGAGCTTCACACAGGTGTAGTAGGGAGGTGCACACCAACTTCAAGGTCACACATTGCTATCAAGGTCATTTCAGTCCTTTGCGGGAGTGTGAACTCAAATTGGATAGTGTTGTGTTGCCAGTATGGTGTGCCGTGTAACCTCACTATATATATACTACTGGCTCTCTGTTGTCAGTTTGATATGTATTTTGCGGTTATACCGCTCTCGCTGGTAGACTTCGACCCAAATGTTCACATCCATTTTCGATCAGGCTGATTTATGGCACGGTTATTTTTTTGGAGGAAATTTAAAAATACTAATTCTGTCTTCTTTTTGGCCACACAGACCATGCTGAACTACGCCTTCGACACCTCCACTGATATCCGCCAAATTGACTTGGACATCAACCGCACCTTTCGATCAACCACTTTTTTCCGTGAGGCTTTCGGACCACGGCAACAGGCCCTCTTTAACATCCTCTCAGCCTATTCGGTCTACAATTCGGAGGTCGGATACTGTCAGGTAACTGTCCCAAATAGGAACTTTGCTATTTTGCACCCTATGCTAGCTTCGGTGGGTTTTGAAAGTGATCGTTCTCGTTGATGAACGTTCACCTGACCGCTAAGGGGACTCATCTGTCCCGCTCTGCCTTGGGTCTCGCCAGAGGCGCTGACAACCGCAACAGCTGGTAGTATAGGCAGATAGTATTGCCGGCAAAGACAAGGGAGACTGGAGTGATAACTTCTGGCTTATTAGCTGTCGTCAGCCAGTCATACGCAGACACAAGTAGCGCT